AGTGTTTACAATGAACAGGTGTTGCATTTTGTCAAATACTTTCTTCTGCATCTCTTTATATTTTTGTGTTGTTTTCTTCTTTAGCTTGTTGATGTGGGCAATTACACTAATTGCTTATTGAATGTTGAATTGGCCTTGCATACCTGGGATGAATTACACCTGCTCTCTTTGCACGTTGTTGGATTCAATTTGCTAATACTTTGTTGAGGGCTTTGCTTCTATGTGTATGAGAGATATTGGTCTATGGGTTTCTTTTAATATCTATGACGGCTTTTAGTATTAGGGTAATTCAGTTGTCATAAAACGAATTAGAAAGTATTCCCTCTGCTTCTAGCTTCTGAAAGTATTTGTAGAGAATTGGTAACATTTGTTCCTTAAATATTTGGTAGAATTTGTCACTGAAGCCATCTGGACATGGTGCTTTCTGTTTTGGAAAGTTATTAATTATAGATTCAGATTCTTTAATAGATATAGGCCTATACAGATTGTCTTCCTTCTTGTGTGAATTTGGCAGATTGTTTCTTTTAGGGATTAGTCCATATTTGATAATTAGATTATCAAATTTGTAGGTGTAGAGCTGTCCATATTATTTCTTTATTACCCATTTAATGTCTGTGGGATCTGTAGTGATGTTCTTTCTTTGATTTCTGTTATTAGGAATTCGTGAACTCTCTCTCTCCCTATCTCTCTTTAAGCTAGCCTGGCAAGAATCTTTTACTGACCTTTTCAAAGGTTGGTAAATGATTTTGATTTGATTGATTTTGTGCATTGATTTCCTGTTTTCAATTTTATTGAATGGTACTCTAACAAGAAGACTTTTTCAAAAGTGATTTTGTGCTTTTGAGTTGCAGATTTTCTGGAAGATCAATGCCAGATCATTAGTCAGGAAGCACTTTTTATTAACAAATATTTGCCCAGTTACATCTTCTCTACCATTTGGATTCAGCATTTGGAATATATTATTTTGTAATTTAGAATTTTCTCAAAAATATGTAAGACATTTTACAAATGCTTTGATCTAAAAAGGAAACACTATCAGTATGAGTTCACTCAGCTGGAGGGAACATGAGGTATTATTTAATTATAAGAACAATAATTATTTCAAATTCATACTTAATGATAGTTGCAATTAATGAGTATTAATTTGCTGTATCACCACTAAAACTAATGGTAAATTGTTTTTGTAGTGTTACCATTTGACTTACAAAAAAAAAGTGAATCCTTCAATGCTGAGGAATAATTTTACAGGCAACATCTGGATCTAGAGCTAATTACTAAATAGCTCTCATTTAATGCAGTGAACATAAATCAAACCTTTGAAATCATTCACAACATAGGTTATGATAGGAAAGCAAGCCTAGAAGTAAAAATAAGAGTGCTTAACTTCGGACTGTGCTAATGGGTAGGCAAGCACTCTCTGCATGGGTGAGATAAATAAATTAGCCAGGAACTTGGTGTAATTTGCCCTTTCTGACTTGGTTCTCACAGAGATATGATTGTATTCTGTTATTAGCATGCACAACTTATTGGAACAGACAAGAAATTTGAAGTCACCTCTGCTTTCCTTCAGCTGGGCTCCTAGCAGGCTGGGCTTTGAGGATCATGAAACTAAGCAACTCAGACTCGCAGTTGTTCAAATTCATGGGATGCCCAATTGGTGGCCAAGTATAGTCCCACAAGGGGTAATGGCTGGTCTGAGCACACAGCAGCACACATTTTCAGGGGCAAGTGAGGGTGGGGGTGGCTGAGGTGGGCTTGGAGAATTAGGCACGGGTCCTGAGAGCACCCTGTATGCCATGCTTACAGAATGTCCCATTGCTTCTAGGGGAGCATTACCATCACACACACGTGCACAGGTGTGTGCACCTGAGGGTTGGAGACTGGCCAGTGCCCCTGAACCCTGGCCAAGGTCAGTACCGCTGTCCAAAGTGTTGACAGCATGGTTCGGAACCTGTACGGATTGGGACTCTTTAAGCCCACACCTCGGGAAGGGAGGCGTGGGGGCCCCAGATGTTCACAAAGTTCTCAGTGGCCTTGATGGGCCACCATGGATCGGGGAACATTGGAGCAGCATCTTCGGGCCTCATTCCTCCTGATGGAGAGAGATTCCCAGGTATCTTCAGGCTCTTTTGAGTTCAGATGTTCTTGCCGGTCCAGTGGCAATGGGGCACCCCTGTGTGCGTCTGGGCCTTGATTCCCGCTGCCCATGTGGGAGGAGCAAGTAGGGCCGGAAGTTGAGGGGAATTTAGGTCATACTCTCTGTTCCATTCCAGGGACTGGAGTCCATTGTGATAGCTGAAGGATGAAAAACAAGCAACAAACAAACAAAAAAACAAAAACAAAAATAAGCAACAAACAACCATGAATTTTCTGTGCTGAGGAATTTTTAATCTCATCCAGAAGATAAGGCATCCTGAAAAGATACCACTTACACATAATTGAGTACAAACTGAATTTGAAGTGCCGAAGAAATCAGAACAAATGTATTACGGACAGGCCGTGGCTAACCGACGGAGTCTGTCTGGGCTTGTTTTCTGTCTGTGGGGAAGGATAGATTTAAGTCGTTTTAGAAGGAGATCAAAAGCCTAGAAAACCCCCAGATCAGCTCACATAGATCAGCTCACCTAGAGTGGGAAGGCTAAGCCAGCTCTATTTTCTCCAGTTGTGAGAAGTTCCAAATTTCTAAGATTTCACCTGGAAAAAATATATATAATTTTAAAAATTAGAAGCTGGAATATTGTTTTATAATCTCAGTCTAAGGCTGTTCTGCTGGTAAGACGTACAATAGGCTTTTGATTAAAATGGCATTGTAATAGGTGCACCTAGTGAGACAAGGTTTGAGTATTTCATAAATATGGATTTATTATATCAGAATGCACATAAGGATGTCTCTGGCACTCTGATACTGAGTCATACATAAATCATGAACAAATGTGGTGTGTTTGTTTTTTCTCTAAAACCCATGACGATGGACCATCACTTTTCCTTTAGCGTTCTTAAGCCCCTCTGAGAACCTCACTTGGAGCACATTTGAACCACTGAAGGATGAGTGCATGCCAAAATTAAGATTATTCCACGGACTCACTCTCATTAATACAAGTGGTTATTATGAAGGGAAATAAAATTGCTTTAGCTTACTTAACTGCAATATTCTCTATTTTCATATGTTAATTCTCATAAACTTATTATTTGTACTCAACTTGCTTTTCCCTCTAAGTGATAAATAGTAGTTGTTTAAAATTGTTTTGCCATTTCACTTGTCAAAATCCATACTTTGTGAATAATTCTTGTACCTTTGAAACATTTCAGGAATCATCTTTTTTTGGGGGGATGGAAATAATGTTTATCTGATTATTCATGAGAATGATGCTTATTTAGTGGGATTCACATGTTTTATAATGATGCAAAGAAAAAAGAAAATTAAATTGGGTCTTGACAATTTTTGCTTCAGGAATCGTAGTAGAAAACATAAATATTTCAGGTTGAAAACAGTAGTTAATTGAGGTTTGGGATGGCCCTGGAGGCTTCACCTTACATGGATTAAATTCAGTTAGAAACACACTGAATGCCTGGAAAACACTGTCCAAATCCTGAACGTCTCCTCTCCAGGTACCTTATAAGGATGTGACCACCTTGTTTTTGACCACACAAGTCCTCGACTTCTACTACGTTGGAGTAAAATGGAACACTGGTTTTGAAGCCTCTAAGTTAGGATTATAAAAAACATTGTCATTTAAAAATAAATTTTATAAATTGTTCTTCCAAAGAAAGATTATAGCACAAAAGCTATTACTTCTTCTTCTTCTTCTTTTTTTTTCTTTTTGAAGACTAAGGTTCATATGCCTTCTTTGAAGTAAGAATAAAAAAATGACAATATGGTTTGGAACGTTGAACACTGCCTTTTACATCTCTATATGGGGAACATGTCCTTATAGCATCTTTTGAAGGAACTTAATAAGTGTTGACTTGTCTTACCAGAGTGAGAATAATAAAAGCAAATACTTTCAGCCTTCAGCAGTCCTCTCAGTGAGTGAGTCCCCATTGTACTCCCTGCCATGTTGCTGTGTGAGTTCCGTTGTATCGTTGTGTAACGGCCCACTGTACAGTTGTGGGGGTTGGCTCCCCATTGCATAATTGTGTGATATCATCACTGTCCAGTCGTGTGATTCCCCATCAAACTGAGGAGAGAACCGAGGTGTAGAGAAGGGTGAGTGACACCCAAGAGTCGGCAAGGCTGGTGAATGCCAGTCCCACCCAACTCCAGTTGCAAAATCTATGCTAGCTTCAGTGGTGAGATGACAACAGTGTGAGCAGAGGGGACTAGCATCAGGACAGACCCCTAAAGGAAACTGTGTGGGGCCAGGGCTGGGAAGAGAGCAGGCTTCCCTAGACACACAATAAATGGGAATAGCCCTCTCTAGCCGTCAATCTGCTGTGTGATTTCAAGGTGGTGGTGAGGTCCCAGCACCCCCTGTGTACAGGGAGACTAATGCAGGCCTGTTCTGCTCAACGTGCTAGACCCTGAGAGACTTCTAGGCTAACACTCGAGTTAGCCATTGACCATGACCTGTAGGTAACACCCCCCTTCTGGAATTTTCTGAAGTACTAACCATACCCCAGTAATGGGCGACACTTTGTGCTGCCTGTGCACACACCCATCACGGGGGCTTCCTTGACATGTGTGACCCTCTTACCCTTGCGATGGTGACATCATGCTGACAGCTGGGAATTGCCCACGATGGGAGTATGTACTCCACGGAAGACGGCAAATGCTACCAATCAGGGGTTTTACTTTCTTTGCCACCGACTAACACACCTCTGATCAAGACCGACGTTTGCTATAGGTTCTAGCATTTTCTTGGCCTGTTAACTAAAAGCAAGGACGGAGGGAGGAGAGGAGGGAGAGGGAGAAGGAAGCAGGAAGGCAGGGAGGGCAGAAGTCGGGAATGCCTGGAGCAGGGGGTTAATCTGAATTTGGGATTTTCCACACAGATCACTGTGATGTCCCGCTGGCGTCCACGTTGCCACGAGAGTCCTTCAGCAGCTCGTCAGAACTGTCCAGCAGCCACGGCCCGGGGTTCGCAAGTCTTAATCGCAGAGATGGTGAGTCTGATGCTGTCTTGCTGTTAGCCCATCACAAGTCTTTCTCAGAGAGAATAACGACCATTCTTACTTAATATTCATTCTTGTGGCTTGAAGAGTAATTATATCGCAGTTGGATGGAAATGAAGAAGCAGGTTCAGTGACGTATCATTTCTAGCTTCCTGCGTCTGTAGCATTCTTCTTTTCTGTTGGTTCTGACGTTTCCGTCCCTGCTGATGGTCAGCAAGTGGTCATAAATGAGATCCGAATCAGAAGGGAATTACTGGAGGCTCCAGATTATTTCCTATTTTGTCATCCCTTTTTAGTTTCAGAGCACTCCATGGACGGGTGACTAGCAAGTGTGCTTATCATGGGTAACTAAAACAACAAACACGGGGCTCCTCAGTGATCTCGAGGTCCTGGGATCGAGCCCCACATCTGGCTCCCTGCTCGGTGGGGAGCCTGCTTCTCCCTCTCCTCCTGGCTCCTGCTCTTTCTTCTTCTTCTTTTTTTTTTTTTTAAAGATTTTATTTATTTATTTGACAGATTGAGAGAGAGAGAGAGAGAGAAATCACAAGGAGGCAGAGAGGCAGGCAGAGAGAGAGAGAAGGAAGCAGGCTCTCCGCTGAGCAGAGAGCCCGATGCGGGGCTCGATCCCAGGACCCTGGGATCATGACCTGAGCCGAAGGCAGAGGCTTTAACCCACTGAGCCACCCAGGTGCCCGTCCTGCTCTTTCTTCTATCTCTCTCTCTCGCTCTCTCTCTCTCAAATAAATAATCAAAGTCTTAAAAAAAAAACCCAACAACAAATGAATGAGCCAATGTCATGGGCACTGGGAACACCCATCAAGCCACTGGCTGGCACCAGTGAGATGGGAAGCTGCCACAGGGTAGTGATGGGGAAACAGCTCCATCCCAGGACCTGGCCTGGGAGGACCCAGGGCAAAGCCTCCTGTTAAAATAGATTGCGTTCATACCCATGGGAAGGGAGCTAAAGGCCTCTTTTCTCAGGGTGTGGTGGGTGTTCATTCATTCATTCTTGCTCCTTGACTGTTATGGATGAAGTTGCTTTCGCTTTTGCACAAACAGTAGTTCAGCAGACTAAGTAATACATGCACTGAAAACACAGATGTTTCACTACCTTGGAAAGGGATTAACTTTTTTGGTGAATGATCCATCCAGAAAGTAAAACTTTAAATTGACTGTGTCCCACGTAAATGTAAATTCTAAAGATCATTATGCTGGAACAGAGCATTTGCCTCCCTTTATTCAGTATTTCTAAGATCACGGTTTAAGTATAGCTTGAATTTTATCGTGTCCTCAAAAGTCAAGTGCAGGAACCCTTGATCAGCATCAGATAGACTGATGGGGCCCCGTAAAGACACAGTGAAGGATTTTGGTGTGTTTGGGGGGTGGAGAGATCACGTCGCTGAGGACCACCTTCATGACGTTTTACTATGAAGAAACGTTTCTGGCCAGATATTTTCTCCTCCAGGTAGTTAGGAAGCATCAGTCATGATGACTTTCAGTCCTCTGGTGAGAATAGCCTCTCACTGAAGCCAGTTTTCAATTAATAATTAAATGATCAAATTTACTATTTTTGGTCTGGTGGTTCCTCTAATACCAGCTTAACATCTAAACTTTCCAGTGGTTGCCCAAAGACTGTAAAAACCAAATAAGCACCATTCTTAATTAGTTTAAAGGATCCCAGGGGGCCTGTGTATTGTGTTTCTGATTTGCATATACGGAATATCTTTATGATTCTGGTCCTGTCAGTGTGGTGGCACTGGGAAGTTTATAAGCATCAGAAGGGAAAATCCCAGTGTTTAAGATGAATTTATTTCCATTATATTTAATTAAAAAATTAATAACTTAGACTATCATAAGCAGCCATTGTAAAATGGTAAGTACAAACTGCATTTACTATAGTCAGATCACTCTTTGCAGATTTAAATTAATTTTTTAAGAGCGTGGCAATCAACTGATGAGGTTTTTCTTGTGGCTGTTGCTACTCTGATTGTACACAATACATATTTCATTAAATATTCCTTCATTTTGCCATCTGATTTCATACCCATTCCTAAGGCAGGATTCAGACAGCACGGTTTGTCTATCCTTCTGAAGGATTATCTATGCATATTTTCAGTTGAAAGCCAGCATCCCAGGGGCATCTGGTGGCTCAGTCGGTTGGGCGTCTGCCTTCGGCTGGGCTCCTGATCCCAGGGTCCCTGGACTGAACCCTGCACCAGGCTCCCTGCTCAGAGGAGAGCCTGATTCTCCCTCTGCCCCTCACTCCGCCTGTCTTCTCTCTGTCTCTCTTTTTCTCTCGAGTAAATAAATAAATAAAATCTTAAAAAAAATAATAAAGCCAACATCTCAGATTCTTTCCTGGAATTTCTTTTGACTTTGTAAATGCTGGAGAACAGATTAGTTCACTTCAGTTTAGGATACTATGATGTAAAATTTGGATTGTATAAAATATGGAAGATTATAATAATAATGATGATTCTTCCTATATAGTAGTTGTAGCTTTTTTGAAAAATTGGCGCAAGATCTGGTGATGGAAGCCATGTTAGACAACTTGATTATATGATTAAAATGTCCTTGGTCTATATTATGGTACTTGGAGGTTGTAAAGAAGGTGTCTGTCTTACCTCCCTATTTTGCCCAGCAGTCTTTGAGCCTTCAGTATTTTTATGGAAAAATAGAACTATCTGAACCCTCATGGCTCCTGCCAGGGATTTTGTATGTAGCTGATCACGGCATCTACCTGATATATAAGGTAGTAAGACAGCAGTCAGTACATACAGTTTCTTTATTTTTATTATTTTTAAAGATTTTATTTACTTATTTTAGAGAGAAAGAGAATGTGAGTGAGGTGAGGAGCAGAGGGAGAGGGACTAGGAGACTCTGCGCCAAGTGTGAAGCCTGACACGGGGCTCGATCTCACGCCCTCCAGATCATGACTTGAACGGAGATCAACACCTGAGAATTGCTTAAGAAGAAAGACTGTGATTCAGATCACTTCCCTAAGAAAAACATAAACACTTAATCTTTACATTGATTTTCCATCCAGCCATGTTCATCTGAATTGCCCCTTCTAGGAATTTCCTTTTTTTTTCTGCCCAGGGCCCCTGGCTCAGGATTTGCCAGCTAAGGTGGCCCTCTTGTCTGCCAGAGTGGTGGGGTCCAGTTAGCAATCCTTCCCAAGGCACCGGGATCCCTGATGGGTCGCAGCCGCCATATTGAAATTGACACGGGAGTCCTGAACTGCTCCTTTAACCTGTGACTCAGGAAGACCATAGCCAGGGACAAGGGCTGCTGGGGGCTCTCTGGGCCCCCCGCTGTCAGCTGCTCTGCTGCTGTGAATGTGAAGGGAGACCTGCCTGGACTAGGGGCTGATGGGGGGATGATGATCCCAGGGCCCCCTGTTCTCTTTCCTGCCATCCTTGCAGCCTGACTGTTGTCCCGTTGCTGTGTCCCTCTGAGGAAATCGGGGGAGTGGGCTTTGCTCTGACATGTTCACGTGCCATCCTTTGAATGCCCCCCACCCCGTGCTGCTCCTCACATCACGTGACGCTCAGGCCTCCCCATTTTTGCATTCATTAGGATACTCTGCTTCCTACAGCAGGTAATTTGGTCCTCGACTCTTTTCATCAGAGGCTCTCATGGCGTGCTTACGAACGGTTAGGAATTAAGCCATACAGCGTCCTTCAAGAGAACTCGAGTTTTAGCGTCAATGGAATTTTCTTTCTTTTTCCCCAGAGGCATTTGGCCGACTGAGCAGTCACAATTGGGTGGCTAATTTAGTTGTCATGGTTTTGTCTCCCGAGCAGCAACCCCTGCATTTCCTGACACGATCATCCACCATACTGGATTTTTTAAAAAGAGACATTGCCTTGAGAGCGTGCAGCTGAGCTCCCGTGGGGAGCAGTGGGCTGGCCTGACCTCATGCCCTTCTGGGCCCTGGACTCCCCAGGGGTCTGCCCACAGCAGAGAGAGGTGCCCCTGTTCCGATGGCCTCGGGGGTGATCTGATATCCTGTCTGTTCTGCGTGAGTCGGGGCCGCTGAGAGGATGCCCTCCTAGAATTAGGACACGTCCCAGAGCCGCATTCCTTGTAAACAGAGATTTCACGGGACATGAATGAGCTCAGTCACACGTTTTATTTGGTCATAAATGAAGGATTTATGACCTGTTCGGGTCGTGACAGGCTTGCTGGGCAATCCTTGCTCCATTTCCATAGTGGGAAATTGGCAGAACCATCTCATGTTTTGTCGGGGCAGAACTTCCAACGAGTCAGAGCTGAGAGCCTCTGGTCAGATCTCAGTGGGTCTCCATGACACGTTCAGGAGTCTGTGTGAGGACAGCAAAACAAAACACATGGGATCGACCCATTTTGTCTGTTTTATGCAGACAGAGCTGCAGTCAGAACGCTTGATGCTTAAGGGTGTGGAAATCTGTCCCTGGGGAGGTCACATGTGAATGCCTGTGGGGCACTTTCTCTTCCTCAAGATCTCTGGCATTTAAAGCAAACTCAGGGTGATGGGTGCGCACCAAGCATATATTTTCATTTGACTGTCGAAGGGTCTGTTTACCAAGCCATTTCGGGCGTCTTTGCTTTGCACGTAGGAACCCGGCTCCCACTGAGGCAGCTGCGGTGACCGTTCCCCTCTGGGTGCCCTTCGTGGGAAATGTCCCATTCTCCCAGCTGAGGCTCCTAGCACAGTGCAGGAAGCACACAAGCAGGGGAGCTGGGGGCCCCGAGGCAGGGTTTCTGGGCCTACTCTGTCCTGATCGCCGGAATGCTACCTGGACACAGCTGGTGCTACCTCTTGAGGAATCAAAATTGCAGCAAACGCCTTAATCCCCTCAGTAACAGCAGCGTCCGACCCAGGCTTCAGCACATCCAGCCCTAGGATCCCTGAGTGGGGAGGTCAGGGGGACCTCAACACTGTCACCAGAGCCCATCTGCCCGCTGGCCCCTCTTTCCTGGGGACACCTGTCACCTTTCTGGGGATG